GTTAAAGTTAATATACTTATCAATCATGATCAACTCCTTCATATTAAAGTTCAAATAGATAATGATTTTTTCCTTCTATTTATTATTTGTGTCGGTTGTACTATGCTGAGGAGATCGAATGTGTGGAATCTGATAGATTATGTCAATCCTATCTTTGAGTCATTGTTAGTGGGTGGAGATTTCAATATTATTACTTCTCTTAGTGAGAAAAGAGGTCGTGCTTTTCCTAATCTTTTTCTCATTTATTATTTTAATAATACTATATTTGAAGCTAGTCTTCGACTTAGGTTTTAAAGATAACCATTTAACTTGGAGTAGAGGACATGTGTTTGAAAGATTGGATAAATTCCTTGCTAATGCTATTTGGGCTAATAAATTTAATATGCATGAGGTTACTCATCTTGCTATTAGTGCTTTTGATCATGCTCCTATTCTTATGAAGGCTAAGGATAACATTCTTAACTCTTCTTATAGATTTAGATTATTTAATATGTGGATTATGCATCCTTCTTTCTTACAGTTTGTTAAGGATAATTAGAGGTGTAATGTTAAAGGTAATTCTAGTCTTAAGTTTTGGGGTTTACATAAAAACCTATCATTCAAGTTTAAGAGGTAGAATTGTGATATCTTTGGCACTATTATTAAGAATGTGATTGAGGCTAAAGAGAGGGTAAAAGGTATGGAGCAGGATTACAATAATGATATTATTTGTTGGGACTTGCTTTTTCAAGGTCAGCTTGCCTTGAATAAAGCAATTGATACGAAAGAGAAATTTTATGCTAAAAAAGCTAATAAACAGAAATTCATTGATGGGGATAGAAATTTTGCTTACTATCATGCATGTATTAAAAGCATAAGGAAAATAATATGATTATTAAGATCTTTAATTTTGATGGTACTTTGCTCTTCGAACCCTTAGATATTGAGGAAGATGGTGATAGTTACTTTACTATTCTTTTCAAGGTTCATGGTGACATTCTTACTCAATTGATACTGACATTTATTCTGGTAATGCAGATATAAATAACAAGAACCTTAATAATATCCCTTCCAAGGAGGAAATTAAAAATATCATTGATAATTTGGATGATGGTAAGACTTCTGGTACAGATGGCTTCACCGTTGAAATCTATAAACATTATTAGGATATTATTAATCAATCATAAATTGGTTGATGTTATCCAAGATTTCTTCAAAGAGCATGATTTGTTTAAATATTTTAATACTTCAAATATTGTTTCGATACTTAAAGAAAATAATGTTGATTCTTGGGATAAGTTTAGACCTATTAGTTTAAATAATATGGTGTTTCACAAACTTTTTCAATAATTATTTTTAAAAGAATGAAACCTATATTTAATAATCTGATTAGCTTTAACCAAACTGCTTTTATTTGTGGAAGAAATATGTGTGATAATGTCTCAACTATTTCAGAATTTCTTCTGGACCTTGATAAAAAATGTAATGGTGATAATGTTATTTTTAAATTTGATATTAAGAAAACCTTTGATACTATTAGATGGGAGTTTATTCTGAATATGCTTCATGCTTTGGGTTTTAAAAAGGATTTTTGTAGAATTATTCAAAGAATTCTTAATAATAATTTTTATTTTATTTTGATTAATGGAAAGGCTTGTGATTACTTTAATGCATCTAGTGGTTTCAAGCAATGTGATCCTTTGTCCCCTTGTCTTTTTATCATAGAATTTGATTATTTATTTAAATGTTTGACAAAAAATTTTTTTCTAAATATCTTAGCTTGTATCGTATACATAGAAGTATGGTGGGAATTATTCATTTACTTTTTGTTGATGATCTACTTATCTTTATTAATGTAAGATAAGGTCCATCAAGAAAGTTTAGAATGTTACTCTTCAATTCCAATAGATTTATGGTATGGTGTTTAACACATTCAAATTTTCTCTTTACTGTTCTAAACTTGTTTCTTCTGCTAAAAAAATTTGATGGTGGATTATAGAAATTGTAATAAAGCAAATTTGTCTTCAGTATATTTGAAATTCACTTTGAATAAAAATATTAAGAGGAAAGTTCTTTTTTTGAACTTGTTTGATAAAGTAAAGATAATTATTCTTTCATGGGAGAATGAGTTTCTTTCATTTGGTGGGAGGATTACTATCCTCAAGAGTATACTTACTTCTATTCGTCTTTATATCATGCAAGTTATGAGCATGCCTTTAAGTTTTATAAATAGATTAGAAAATTTATTTAACAAATTTATTTGGAATGGTAATGGTAAAAATAATATCCATTAGAAAAAGTGGAATAAGCTTTAAAAGTCTCTTCGTAAGGGAGGTCTTGGCTTTAGAAGTCTAAAAGATACCTTCCATATTAACTATATGAAACTTTGGTATTGATTTATGAAAAATGACTTGATTTGGGCCTGCCCTTTGAAGGTTAAATGTTGTTATAATACTAATCCTCTTGCTGCTAGCTATTCTAAATGTAACTCTTATTTTTGGAAAGGAATGCTTAATGTATCCAAAGATACTGAAAACCTTATTAATTGAGATATTGGTATTGGTAGACTTTCTTTTTGGTATGATGATTGGTTGGTAATTGTTCTTTAGTGGATAACTATGGTGGACCTCAAGATGTTAATATCAATTTTAATGATTTTTGGTTGGATTTTAAATGTAATTGTAACGAGTTGAGGTAATTTCTTACTTATGATGATGTAAATTTATTTCTAACAATCCCATCAATGAGGTGAAGTTTGACACTCTTAAGATCAAAGGTAATGTTGGTGATGCGATTTCCAAGTCATTTGCTAATTTTTTTCGATCTTTTTAAGGAGAAAATCTAAAGTGAATATGGAACCAATGGGTGAAACCTTCTCAATCTTTTTTCATATGGAGAATTTTCCAAAAAATGTTTTGTATAGATGATATTTTAAAATTAAAAAGGCTATGGATGCCATCTTGTTGTTTACTATGTAAAGAAGAGGAGGAAGTTATTAATCATTTATTCTTTACATGCACGTTTGCTGATGGGATTTGAAGCCAATTATTTACCTTCTTTAACAAAATCACCACTGTGGGTAGCTATAAGGAAATTAAGAATACTTTTGAAGATTAGAAATTTCTTTGTCCTGTCTTTTTCTCCAACATTTCTACTGGCATTCTGTGGTTTGTTTGGTTTACATTTAAGAAAGCTAAATTTCATGATGAGGTTCCGAGAGTTAATAGCACCTTCAGTATGATTCTTAGTCAATTAGTTAATAAAATTAGCTTCAAAGGTTATAATTGTAGTGATAGTAGTAGATTTAAAGATATTTTATGTAATCTTAATATTTTGAACTTGTCTGCTATTAAAAAGGATCCTATTGTTGCTTGGTTGAAACCAACAATTCCTTATATTAAAATAAATGTTGATGGTTGCTGGAATGGTAATAATGTGGGGTGTTGGAGGAGTTTGTAAGGATTTTATAGGCACTACCATTCGCTAGTTTGATGCGGTTGTGGTTCCTATTTCACCTTTATTTGCTAAAGCGAATGCTATGGTCTTTGGTTCATTATTAGCTAAGAAGTATGTTGGCATTATATTATCTTAGAAATAGATTTTTTTTTATGTTTTGAATTTTACAGGAATATAGAAGTATGTCACTGGAGCGCTAACATTCAGATGAAAAGAATTAAGGAGTTATCCAAGAAGTTATGCATCATCTTGAACCATACTAAAAGAGATGGCAACAAGGATGCTCAATGGGCCACTGATATAGGGAGTATTTTACAATATGTTGTTATTTCCAAGCATATTCCTAGAGATATTATTCAAATTTCTCAGATGGATTTGCTTTAAGTTATTTTATTTTATTTTATTGTTTTCATTGGTGGGGTGAGTTGTATTTTGTTTTTTTTAGGGAGAGGAAGCTTTGGTTTTCTTTTTTGTGTGAGTTGTAGGGGAGTGAAGTAAGTACCTCTCATTTTATTTTGTATTTTTTGTTTTGGTTGGAATAAAATTTCCCTATGGGGTTTATAAAAAAAACACTAACCATATAAACTGTAGATGGTTGCAATAAAAGCATCAGGTTGATACAAAAACTATAGTGGAGCATTGTGATAAAAGCATATGGGCCACATAGGCCATAATGGAAGATACAATAACATTAGTTGTCTACGAAGGTCAAACTGGAGGGTTGTGATGTTAGCATTTGACAATGTAAGCCATAATGGGGAGTTGTAATAACATTGGTTGGCCATACATGTCGTAGTTGGGACTAAACTGGCTATAACACATTTCATGCATTTACTATTGCACCAAAGACATCACTTGGTAGTATATGACATAAGGAGGAGACTTTGGGATTCTAGAGACTGTTATCATATTCTGCATATCATAGTTGGAAGAAACCGTCAACATATCTTTGATACAATATTATTCATTTTATCATATTTGGAATATATTGTTACACCATATTTAAGTGTAAATTACACCGTGTTTATAGTACTTTGTTAAGTGATGTTTTAGTGAGACATATGTATATGCTTGCATACACACATAAAATTCTATTTTAAAGTTAACTTAAAATTTTTAACAAATATAAAAATTCACAATATTTAATAGCTCAATCTTAATAAGCGCTTATTGTGAAATTGAGACACGCTTATATATCTTATAATATATATATATATA